ATTTTTTTTTTTTCAGGCTTTAATTTCACAACCACTTAAGTTGTGTATAACTGCGATGATCAATTATGTCTACATATATATTTTCTCCGCAGTTCAAAATATGATCTTTCATATATCCACTTGCATTCTTCATCACCTACGGGTATATTACACACTCACAGTGTGACCAGCTCTCAGTTGGCTTGATACATATAGCTCAGTTGGTAGAGCACCGCACCAGTATCGCAGAGGTCATGGGTTTGAAAGCCATTCAGGCCTGAATTTTTTTTCAGGCTTAATTTGACAGCTGCATTGTGTATAACTGCGATGGTCAATCATGTCTTTATATCTTTCTTCGCAGTTCAAATATACGTGTACGATCTTTCATATATTCCCTAGCATAAAATTAACGAGGTTACACAAGAATTAATTTTTGATAGCAACAGCTCAAAAAGATCAGTTAAAGAGCCCTTAAATACACATTTTAAAAAATTTTTTAAAGGTCAATTCAGTCAAATAAATCACATCAATACTCAATTAAAATACTCCTCATACTCACTCATTCCATCTTTAACAGGATTTATGAGTTCCATGTTCTCCTTTGGAATATGAATGTGATTTGTGTCAATATAGTACTTTTTCTCAGGAAGTTTAGGTTTTTCTGGAACAAAATCACCATAAAAACACATAGCGTACAGCTCAATAATGCATTTTAAAAAACGACAACAACAAGGGGGTTATTATTTCTGTATCACCACGACAGCACAAGGACAATCTTTACCTTCACTAGGAACATCCGTTTCCATGAGTTCATCTTTAACCTCTTCCTCTAACATTCCCACATAAGTAGGGACGTCATACTGAAGAAACAACAAATTCAAAATCAACTATATTAGTATTAGATATACATGTAAGCCTCGGGCCATCCCACCACAACCAGCAAAAGGGAGGGAGGTGAGGGAGCAAAAACACTATACAAGCACAAATGGCAGTAGAAGCAACTTCACCCTCTTACTCGGCTGGAAGAATAAGCCCTGCAAAACCCTGTATGAGAACCCTACAGAGCATGACTAACCTGGAAGACCACTGACTGGCTGATTGGCTCAAATGGAAAAAACTTTGCCCAAATTACATTTTGCCGCATCAAAACAAACTGCAAATGTGCCATAAGTTTATTCAGTTAATGAAATGTTTCAGACTAAGTTCACTGGTTGGTTATTAAATCACTATTTAGTCAACAGATGGTGGCCTTGTCCCAGTCTGAATGCAAGTAAGCAAGAAAAGTTACATGTACTTACCCCACAGGTACATGGGTACTTCTGTTTATCCCTTTTTAACTACATGTAGATGGGGACTTTTATGAACCCAAGTTTATCAGTTGATACATGTATTTGTACATTGAACATTACGGGTGGTGAATGGTCCTTCAAAAATTCTGGGTCCTACAAAATTTTAACCGAATTTCACAGGTCTCACAGTCTCGTTTTTAAGCGGTTAGGTGCGTCTTGCAGTCTTAATTTTTATACGAAGTTGTCTCGGAGTCTCGCTTTTTTACAAGGCTAAGGGTCTTGAAGTCCTGATTTATTTGTTTCTCTGTTTTTATAAATGATGTCTTACTGTCACTTGATATTGAATTTCAATGAAGCAACTTACATATTTTACAAAAAAAGTTAGTCCTAACTTCTCCTAAATTGTCTGAATTCCACAAAACCTACTGTAACATAACGCATACATCCGTTTTGGTGCCAGAAAAACAATTATTTTGTTTTAGGATATCTTAATGTAGTGTGTTAATTATAATCNTTTGGAATATGAATGTGATTTGTGTCAATATAGTACTTTTTCTCAGGAAGTTTAGGTTTTTCTGGAACAAAATCACCATAAAAACACATAGTGTACAGCTCAATAATGCATTTTAAAAAATGACAACAACAAGGGGGTTATTATTTCTGTATTACCACGACAGCACAAGGACAATCTTTACCTTCACTAGGAACATCCGTTTCCATGAGTTCATCTTTAACCTCTTCCTCTAACATTCCCACATAAGTAGGGACATCATACTGAAGAAACAACAAATTCAACATCAACTATATTAGTATTAGATATACATGTAAGCCTCAAGCCATCCCACCATAACCAGGAAAAGGGAGGGAGGTGAGAGAGCAAAAACACTATACAAGCACGAATGGCAGTAGAAGCAATTTCACCCTCTCACTCGGCTGGAAGAATAAGCCCCGCAAAACCCTGTATGAGAACCCTACAGAGCATGACTAACCTGGAAGACCACTGACCGGCTGATTGGCTCGAATGGAAAAAACTTTGCCCAAATTACATTTTGCCACATCAAAACAAACTGCAAATGTGCCATAAGTTTATTCAGTTAATGGTATGTTTAAGACTAAGTTCACTTTTTGGTTATTAAATCTCTATTTAGTCAACAGATGGTGGGCCTTGTCCCAGTCTGAATGCAAGTAAGCAAGAAAAGTTACATGTACTTACCCCACTTTATCCCTTTTCAACTACATGTAGATGGGGACTTTTATGAACCAAAGTTTATCAGTTGATACATGTATTTGTACATTGAGCATTAGGGGTGGTGAATTGTCCTTCAAAAATTCTGGGTCCCGCAAAATTTTAACCGAATTTCACAGGTCTCACAGTCTCATTTTTTAGCAGTTAGGTGCGTCTTGCAGTCTTAATTTTTATACGAAGTTGTCTCCGAGTCTTGATTTTTTGCAAGGCTAAGGGTCTCGAAATCTCGATTTATTTGTTTCTCTGTTTTTATAAATGATGTCTTACTGTCACTTGATATTGAATTTCAATGAAGCAACTTACATATTTTAGAAAAAAGTTAGGCCTAACTTCCCCTAAATTGTCTGAATTCCACAAAACCTACTGCAACCTAACGCATACTTCCGTTTTGGTGCAAGAAAAACAATTATTTTGTTCTAGGATATCTTAATGTAGTGTGTTAAATTATAATCAAATTTCCAGTTCCAGCCAGTTCGAAGAAGCTGGCTAAAAGGCTGCACAAGCTTATTCTAGCTCTCAACTAAATCTGTGGATCGAATTTTCAGAGTAAGAACATCTCACACTCATACTTTGAAGTCTCAGTCTCGCAACCAAAAAAGTCAAAATGTCTTGGGCTTGCAGAGAAAAACGTTTGCCTCGCTGTCTCGCAAAGTCTTACATTTACCATTTGCTATCCCTAACATTAACAACTCCAATGATTGATAGAACTGCTTTCGTTCTGGCATATACATACATGTACAGGTATTATGGCAAGGTGAAGTTTCTAATGTATGTTCTCTCAGTTCAGTTGCTGTTGATGTTTAAGATTTTTTACTATCCCAGTTACATGTTAACTGATGACAGAGGCTCATTTTCCTATCTTCATCAATGGTAAAGGTAAAGGTAAGGTCTGCATGCGAGCCAAGTGGCCCATCAGGCCGGAGCTTAACCCGGTTTCTGTAGCATGAAGCGACTAGGAGTATTTCTACTCCCCCCTGGATGGGATGCTAGTCCATCTCTGTGTTACCCCCAGCATTAAGTTCGCCGGTACCCATTTATACACCTGGGTGGAGAGAGGCACTGTGAGAGTTAAATGTCTTGCCCAAGAACACAGCACAATGTCCCCGGCCAGGGCTCGAACCCGGACCGCTCGATCCGGAGACGAGCGCACTAACCATGAAGCCACCGCGCCTCCCTATCTTCATCAATGAGCAATTCTTAAAGGAGGTCACTCCACAAAACGTATATTTTTTGTCGATGCTAATAAAAACCTTGCACTAAGTTTAGCCACTCCCCGAAGTTTCAGCCTCTAAAGTGCTGTTTTTCCTAATAAAACTTGTTTCCAAATAAGCCTAAAATTAGAACATCGTTGTGGCAATTTTGAACAGTATTCAGCAGCCAGACCGCATTTTCGTGACATCATTCCATCCGAGAGATTTTATCCAAATGGCTTCCGACAAGCCTTTTAACTACCACTCTGGGTTATGGCTGCTCTTGAGCCATATTATTTTGAGCCAAACGTGCTCCAAACTCTGAAACGAAAGCATTGAAGATAGTGACGTGGATGGTTGCTGGAAAAAATAGATTTTGCTGACCTTGTGAAGGATGCTGTGTCAGTTGTAGGTTTTTCTCCTTCTCACCAATTTTGAGTCTTACGGAATGGTGTCACATAAACACTGCCTGGCTACCAAGACAATTCAAAAATGGCCGCCTCCAAAGCTGCTTCTTTCGAGACAAATTTCTTCAGGATAACAGGTACTTCAGAGGCTGAAACTTCGGTCAGTGGAAAAAGTGAATGTTTACTTGCTATGAGCGAAGACAAACAAAGTAAGCTTTTTGGGGTGACCTACTCCTTTAAAGCAAAAGAAAAAAGAACCTTGGCTTGACAAAGTAAACATTGAGCTTTCAACCTTGGATTAACAAACAAACATGAAGATTTGGCAAGTGTCATATTTTTCCAAGGAAAGTTTAACATTTGCACTTGTATTATTCTTTTTTTAACATTTCTCTTCAGGGGATAAACAGCTGAGGTGGACCGGTGGGGGCGGGGGAGAGGGGGTGGTAATTTTATAACTGGGAGCTGTTCTGTAAACCAAACAAAATCTAAACAAGACAAGCATAATTTATTTCACAGAAACTATAAACAAGGGTCAGTCATAGGTGTTTTGCATCTCACAAGCTGTTCTAACAAGAAAAAAATCGGCTACAAATTTCAGTTCTAACATTCAAATCAAATTACCTTTGGGCAGTCTTCACCCGCATAGCCGGCTCGTATTGAATGGGCGCCAATGTCAAACACTATCGCACCAACTTCGTCTACAAACAAAAGCGATTTCGTGAACTTTGCAAGACTGAAAATGGTAGCAAATTACACAAAAATAACTACTGTTACCTCCTCCATACACTCCTCCGCTCATTTTTCTTGGATATTCAACGTTCGATGTAAAAAACCTAAAAGTATTTTGTTGCTAAATGAAACTGGCCGGCTAACTGACAAATAAGCACGTGTGCGAGTATTCGTTCGTTACTGGTCAGCGTTACAATCAAGATGGCGGACGGGCCAGGGGCGGACGGACTATTGTGAATCGTGGTCGCATTTCGTGGGATTTTAGGTTTTATCGTTTTACAAAATGCCACTAAAGGACCTTTTTGCCAAGGCTCCACCTCCGCTACCTCCAAGTGAAGAACCTTGGCCCCGACCAGAAACTTCTAGGGAGACAGTCAGACAGTCTTCACTTCACTCGGCTACCGCCCGTCCAACACTCGACGAATTCTTGCGGACAAATTATCTAATGATCCCAGACTTCTTGTTGAAAGTCACCCAGGCAAAGGTAGCGGCAAGAATGGGGAAAAGTAGTCATGATTTCCAGAGTGCGGCATCTAAGCAAAGCATGTTAACTTTTGGAACTGTACAAGGGCGTAGCACTTCTTCTGCTTCAGCTAATGTTTCCCCTTGTAACATCGTTAGCAATACCGATAAAGAAGTGAAAATTATTGAAAGCAGGGGAAAACAAGTAAAAGAACCAACAGCAAATCCCGCAATTCGTAGCACTAAGAACAGTGATATGCTATGTACTGTACTTTCACGAAAGCAAAGCTGTGAAGAAATTCAGGTTCCCCCACCATTGAAACCAAAGCCCAGGGTTAAGAAAGTAATGAGAGGAGGGTCCTTAGTAACCATTCCTCCCCCACAGCCCAGAAGACAGGAGTCTGTCAAAGATGGTGGAAAAAGCACGTTTTCTGATACTAATGTATGTTTAATGAGCAGTCTGGAAGGCAGAGATGCAGCTTGTGATGTTTGTGAGAGAAGCATTCAGGAAATTGTGGAAAATCCAAGTTTCAAAGAAACTCATGACGATCAGGAGCTTGCAAAGAAAGAGGGTTCAATCAACTCTGGTTTTGAAGCAGATAATTTAGAGACAAAAGTTTCCAGCCGGGACAACAGAGGGTCTGGAACAGAAGTTTTAACAGAGGATTGTGAGGTAAAACAGGTCCCATTAACCCACTGTGATACTGCAGTATCAGAAAAAAGTCACAACACCTCATATGGAAATTCAAATGACAATTTTAATGAATCTGACAGCAATACCTGTCCAAGTGCCACACCTAAAGCAGATGAAAGCATTAATTTACTTAGTGAGGTTCCTGAGGTAATTCTGGATAAGGGCTCTGAGAAGGTATCTAATAAAGAACATCAAGGGGAGTTCACATCAGGCC